TTTTTTTTTTTTTTTGGATAGTGTAGCTCTAGACTTTTAACTACTCTGCTTACTGCCTCTCAAAAGTGATAGGAAACATTCATTGAGCGCCTACTATAGGCTAGGCTGTCTTGGTCTGGAAGCACCACTGAAACCTGTTCAGCGCTATAGCAACACGCAGGCCTCCGCCGACAAACAGGTGGTGGCTGGGCGAGAGGTGCGTTGGTCAAGAATTGAACCCAGGTCTACCACGTAGAAAGTGAGAATTCTACCACTAAAGCACCACTATTCCAATATTTCTGAAAATCAGTCAGCGAAAACCCTATGTATCTCAACGGTCACGGGGATGACAAAGGACTGGGCAGCTTTCCGTTCGGCCGTGCACAGGGCTGCCATGAGGTGGGGACAACTTGATGGCAGCTAACAACCAAGATAGGCCAGGCATCGCTCTAAAGGCTTAACGGCGGATTAAATAATGATGGTCTCAACAACCCTCCTCCAATGACAGGTCTGGGAAACAGGAAACCACTTCTCTCCCTGAGAAGGGCCCAGCCCCCTAAGGGGCCTCTCTCAGGTTCCTACTCCTGCACTAAAGGACTCAGGCCAAGGTCAGATACTTGGGACTTGAGACTTGCTTCCCCGCTCAAGGTACTGGAGGCACAAACAGGAAACAGACCTCAGACCTGGTCCCGCCCCCCCAGAAGCCTCAGCCTGTGTAAATAGCCCAAGGGGACTTTACCAGCATGGAGGTCAGGGAAGGCTTCCCGGAGGAGACAGCTCCTTGAAAACAGAAGTTTGGAGCAGTGCTCTGCTGGGCCACCCTGGAGCCTGAGGCAAAGGAAGAATCAACAATACTAATCCTCTCTTTAAAATTTTGATATTTGAAAAGACCAGATTTACTGGCCTGACAGAGACTGGAGAAACTCTGAGAGCATGGCTCCCGGACACCCTTTTGGCTCAGTGGTGAAGTCACTCCCAAGGTTCACCGTTCAACCAGGGATTGGACAGCCCCATAGAACAAAATGGGACTAATGAGGCCCAGAAGTCCAGGGACAAGGACTGGAAGGCAGGAGGGGACAGGAAAGCTGGTGATAGGGAACCCAAGGTTGAGAGGGGACAGTGTTGACATGTCGTGGGGTTGTTAACCACTGTCATAGGGCAATATGTGTACTAACCGTTTAATGAGAAACTATTCTGTTCTATAAACCTTCATCTAAAGTACAAAAAAAAAAGAATTATCTATGTGAGATCAAATTGACAACAGCAACTCAAAAGGTCTGATGGGAAGCCTAGGAGGTAGTGAGTTGAAGATAATGATGATGGAATAATTTGAAAAAGGATAGTGAGAATAGCAGCACAACTGGAAGAACGTAATCGATGTCACGGAATTGTACATGTAGAAATTTTTGAAATGGTGTATCTTTGGCTATGTATATTTTCACCAAAAAAGAAAAAAGGTCCTCCAAGGTTGAGAAGGGAGAGTGTTGACATGTTGTGGGGTTGTTAACCAATGTCATAACACAATATGTGGACTGTGTAATGAGAAACTATTTGTTCTGTAAACCTTCACCTAAAGTACAATTTAAAAAAAAATTTTTTTTGATATTTTGTTCATCATGGATTTTTTTGCATTAATTTTCACTTTTTAAAAAATATTGTATCAAAGTATTATTCCTCTTGACTACTGAGTTTTTTGCTGCCCCCTCCCCCTTAAATTTTGCACCCTAAGCAAGTGACTCACTTGTTTCACCCTAGTCTAGGCCCTGGAGCCCTGGTGGCACAGTGGTTAAGAGCTACGGCTGCTAACCAAAAGGTCAGCAGTTTGAATCTACCAGCTGCTCCTTGGAAACCCTATGGGGCAGCTCTACTCTGTCCTATAGGGTCGCTATGAGTTGGAACCGACTCAATGGCACCTAACAACAACAGCCTAGACCCTGGTTTGGAGGATTAAGCCTTCAGCTGCTATGACACATCACTGAGTCCCCACGCCCAGGGAAGCAGGGACTTGGCAGAGGGGAGCGTCATCCTGTTGCAACAGCATGGCCGGCCACAAGTTGGGGGCTTCCCCTTCTCCCCCACCCCGAGGGCCCAGCTCAGGCTCCAACACCCCCACCACACTACCCTGCCCCAGCCTCTCCGGTCTCCCTCTAGCCTCTCTCTGCTGTGACACAGCAGGCATCTACAGCAGATGTGATCCCAGTCCCACCCCTACCCAAAGCCTTTCCAGGTTCCCAGTGCCCTCAAATCCAGTTCCTCGGCCAACCTGGTCCCTGACATTGCCAGGTGAAGAAATGAATACCCACAGGGAGGAAGCAGCTTGCCCAATTTGTTGGTGACATACCCCAAGCCCCAGCCAGGCTGTGCAGGCCCGTCCACAACTCCCTCATGTCACTTCTTGTACCAGGAAGGGCCTGGCAGACAATCAGCCCCAAAACTATCTGCTGACAATGAGCAAATGAACCACATTCTCCCACCTCAGGTACTGCGCTCCAGGCTGGGGCCTTCAGGAAATCTTCCTGGCTCTCCCCTCGGGCCCCCAGGCCTCTGAGGCTGAGCCACGCAGCTCAGCACTGCTTCCGTTCTATTTCTGGTTGCTCCATTTGTGGAGGCCCATTCACCTAACCCCCACCCTGCTGGGTGTCATGAGAATCTACATTACGTCTTATCCTCCCTGTCTCCTACATTAGAGCCCAAGACCCAGCTGGGTTCACGAGGGCACTCAGTCCAGAAACAGTCACCTAGAATCTCTAATCCTTGCCAGCCAGTACTTCTTCAGGTCTTGCCTGTGTCTCTCTTGCTGCAGCCGAAGTTTCACCCTTCCGTCCTCTAACTACCGCTTCAACCTCCAAAGGCAGAGTTTAAGTCACACTGCCCCTTCTCTATCCTGGTTCCCCCAGCCCAGAGCCTTAGCCAAGGATATGCATATACTGGCCACCTTCATATCCTAAATGCCCACTGTGTGCCTAGCCCCTTGCCAGATTTCCACCTTCATCTCATTCATCCTTATAACAACCCCAAGGCCTGGAATTCTTACCTTACCCCAATCGTGGAGCACCAGGCTGAGGCTATGTAAGGTGGAAACTTGCCCAGGTCACTTGCTGGAGCCAGTGGTGCCCTTGGAAGATGTGACTGCCTCTGTCTGGTGGCGTCTGGGAGGCTCTTGAGCTGGGCCTTGAAGGATGTGTAGGAGGTTGCTGGGTGGAGAAGGAACAAAGCCCTCCCAGGCAAAGGAAATGGAGTGTGTGTAAGGCATGAGGATGGGAAAGGACTTGGCAAACCCAGAGATGGGGGAGATTTCGGAGGAGTGGGAATAGGGGGATGTGAAAGGATAGTAGTAATACACAGAGAGGTTTGTGACTAACCCTGGGTCACCCACAGAGCCTGCTGACCCGTGTGGGTGTGGCCCTTTCCTGGAAGAAAGGGACAGTGCTGGGGCCATGAGCTCCTTTGCATGCTAATTTGCATGAGTAAGTCAGCCCTGGGCCAGGGCAGCCTGAAAGGTCCTAATTCCTCCACACTCAGCTCTGGAGCCTCCTCGCCAGGAAGACTTCTTGGATTGCATCTTTGGCTCCCACGTCTGCACAGAACCCAGCTCTGGGTCCAAGGAAAGACCCAGCACTTGGTGGAAAGAGGCAGGCCCAGGGTTCGGACCTGAGGCCTCAGCTCATTTACCAGCCCCCACCCCTCACCCCTGGACCCTAGGTTTCCCAGCACAGGCAGGCAGGCCGGCCAGGGAACCCAGCATCCAGACCTCAGGGAACCCTCCGAGCTCCCCACAGGAACGAAGACTGGTACATATCCAGCTCTGGCCAGGCCCGGGTCTACAAACCACACCCCACCATACCACAAGTACACACTTCATACAACCTCAAGGAACACACACTTCCCAGAGCCACACACCTCCCATCCCACCCACAGCAGCACAGCACATCTGCTCCCCCCACCACACACCCTTCAGTGCCCACACTCCCTACCAACAAGACACTGCATACAACCACCCTAGAGCCCCAAGATGCCCAATACCCCCCACCTCCCCAAGTCCAACTACCAGTGATACCTATGGGCAGAGCCACCTCAGTCTGCCACCCTCCTGGGGGTTCTCAGGACTCTGATAGCACAGGCGAGAGGCCTCAGGGACACTTCCCGTAGCTATGAGGAACTAGGTGGGGGCGGGGTTCCTGGCCCAGATGGTGCAGAAGTGGGCCCTGGGACACAGTAGCAGTGTGGCCCTTGGGAAGGGTGAGGAGCTGACTGGCCCCTGGGCCAAGAAGCCTATTTTCTGTCTCTCAAGGACTGGTGGCTGCCACATGCTGGTCCCAAGGAGGCATACTGGGGTCTCCTGCCTTATCTCAGCCCCATCTCTCTGCCCTGTAACTTGCCCTGGCCTCAGGAGATTCTGTCCCTCCCAACTGTATTATGTCTCATCCTCTGGGGTCCCTGGAGTGGTGGGAGTTGATGGGGGGCAGCCCCTCAGGGCAGTGAGGACTAAGTTGAGGTCCCAGGGCCTGGGCCCATGGTGGGGAGGTGGGGACTCATCAGCAAATCCCTGGACCAGGCCAGAGCCCCCTCCCTACCCACGATGTAAGGCAAACCTGGCTCCATCGCTTCTTGCACGATGCCCTGGGCTAGTCATGTCATATGTGGAGCCTCAGTTTCCCCCTCTACAAAGCAGAGCTGTCAGTCCTGCCTCACAGAGCCTGGTACCCAGATGACTGTGACATGTTATCATATGTGTAACAGAGGCCATATTTGCTCATCATCTGCTCACTCCTCTGCTGCTAAGGCAGTCACTTTCTGTCCCTAGCTCCAAGGCCTTAGCCGGTCCTGACCAGAGGGGTCCTTGAGTATTGGACTCGCAGCCAGGCTTCGGTCTAGGCCCCCTCAGCACTCGAGGTCTCAGTTACCCCAAACACCAATGACTACCACACCCTGCCTCCAGCCCTGTCCCCCTGCAGAGCTCAAGACCGACACCCTACTGCCTCCTGACCTCCTCCTGGATGGCCCTGGGCACTGCACACTCCCCATCCCACACTGAGCTCACCAGGGCTGTCTCAACCCAGATAGGCCCTTCGAGCAAATTAGAAAAAGGTGGCTTCTCTTCCAGTAGCTCCACACCAGGGCATGCAGCTCAGCAAGCAGGGGATAGGCTGGATTTCAGTACCCCCCACCCTGCTCCCCTGGGGGCCCCCTCCCCAATGGTTAAGTGCTCAGCTGCTAACCCAAAGGCTGGCAGTTCAAACCACCCAGCAGCTCCACAGCAGAAAAACCTGGTGATCTGCTTCTGTAAAGACTCCAGCCTGGGAAACGCTATGGGGCAGCTCCCGAGGGCAGCTAACATGATTTTAAATATGATATGCATAGATTACAAACGGAGCCGTGAGAAATGAAATTGCTGATTTCCTGGACCATCTGGACCAGAGAATGAGATTAAGACCCAAAGCTCCTCCCCTCCTGGCCTCCCCGAGGTCTAAGACAGCTAATCGAACAAGGTCACTCTCACAGGGCACCAGAGGCCAGCAGCACATAGTGCAGCCTGCAGACTTTCAAATGGAAATGGACTGAGTGCTATTAGTAAACATGAGACTCCACAGTCCCTGCGGTTTGTCCTCTGGTCAGCATCTGACCCCACCTTAGCCCTGACTCTCACCCACCTCCAGTGCTATTCCTACTCCATCCCCCAAACTTGGCCCTGGCAGCCCCTCTAAGCCCAGGCCTCACCCTGGGAAAGGGTCAGGCAGGGAGTGAGATCTGAGGTGTGAGTGTGTGAAATGCCCCACTTGCAAATAAATGAAGCTGAAAATGAAAAAATTTGTTTTTTTAGACCTTGAAGTTTATCACATAGTAATCCCTTCAGGTCCCACTATCTACCCCTACTCCCAAAGGGTTTACTCTGGACCACGCCTTCTCCTCCATTCCCACTGCCTCCACCTGCCCCAGGCCTCCTTGGCTTGCCTAGACCCCTGGGCCCACCTTCTTGCCTCCTGACCTCTATCCATCTGCAGCCAGGGCCCACTGGTCTAACCAACCACAAGGCAGAGCTTCTGGGCCTGGCACCTGCGTCCCTCCACATCCCTGACTCAAGCCCACCCTTCCCACCTACTCCCCCAGTCTTTCACCCTCTGGCCTCAGGCCCTTCCCACTCCAATGGGTGACTCAACCAGCCCACAACACCTGCGGAGACCTGGGGACAATAGGCCACCCTGCACTAGGGAATGCCCACCATGAGTACAACTGGACTCTGGCCTGGCCCCCTGCCCCTCAGTCACAGACTGAGTGGGGACTTCCCATGGCGGGGCAGGGACAGCCTTCCCTACCAAAAGGTGCAGCACTGGGCGAGGGGGGTGCTTCAGGATGACTACTCCAGGGGGTTCCCCAAAAGATCCTCCTCTGTGACCACTGGCCCCCGTGGGGGAGGCGCGAGGGGGACTCAACACAGTAAGAAGCAGAAACAGGAAGAAACAGGGCCAACCACAAGGGGGTTGGGAGTGGGCAGGGCTGACAACAGAACCCGCAAGCAGCGGGTGGACAGAAGCGGAGTCACAGACTTGCTCAGGGGGCCGGGACCCTCACCACCTGCAGAGTGGCCAAGGGCCAGTACTGGCCATGACAGGGTGAGGGAAAGAGAAGGAGCTTGACTCACGCTTCTCTGAGTTGGCCAGGAACCTGAAGGAGCGATTTGGTAGGCTCCCCTGCACCCCAGAACTAGCAGCCCAGGAGATTCGGGGACCATAGGTAGCCTCCTGGAATAAGAAGCCAGAAGATAAGTACTGTTCCTTGCTGCCGGCACCTGAAAGGGGAAGCTGCCCATGTGGGCGGGGTGCAGGTGACCAGATGGGAGGACAGAGCCGGAAGGCAGAGAGGGAGGCAGGGGGATCAGCCCCACAGGCTCTAGCCTCCAATTTGGCAACCTCCAGCCTCCCTCACCATATAGCCAGGCAATAAACAAGAAAGCCTCCTTGCCTCAGCCTCCCCTCTCCAGCCCATTCTCCACAAGGGTAATTGGGGAACATTCTCACCTGCTCATCTGATCCAACCCTGTTTAAAACAGCAAGAGCTTTAGGTATGGACTGCATACCATCTACCAGCACTGGGCTAAACTTGTTACATTGATTGTAACAACTTAAAAAGTACATGGTATTAGCCCATTTTACAGATGAGGAAACCAAGCCTCAGAGAAGTTAAGTAACTTGCTGAAGATCACACAGGCACCCCCGACATCCCACCTCCCTCAGAGTAAAAGCCAAAGCCAAGAGCATGGCCTACCAGGCCTGCATGATCTGTTCCTTCCCCCTCCCACCCCCCACCCCAACGGTCCTTACTCCAATACACGACTGTGTGCTCCCACTTCAGGGCGTGGCACTTGAGCTCCCTCTGCCTGGAATGCTCTTGCCCAGACATCTGCACGACTCACTCCCATACTTTTACTGGCACCTTCTATATGAGAGGACTTTCTTCCCTGACCACATTCTAAAAAAGTGTCCCCATCAATCTCTATTTCCTTACTGTTTCATTTTTCAGTATCTCACTCATTACAACCTGACACTATATTTATCTGTTAATTGTCAGTCTTCTCAACTGGAACATCCAGGAAAGCAGAGACATTGTCTCACTCACAGCTGTATCCCCAGGAGTTCAAACAGTGTCCGCCAAATGTTCAGTAAATATTTGCGAAATGTATGAAGGGATATCTTCAAAGGCCCGGCTTGCTGCAGGCCATCAATATGTGGCATCCGCCATTATTTTCAGCATTTGCTGCCCACCCTCCTAAAGTCTCCCTCCTTCTCTGCCTCCCTTATCCAAGTCCTACCCCAGGAAGCCCGTGGGCAGCAGCAGGGGCTGGGTACACACACAGGTGGGGAGGGGGTGGGCAGGGGCAGGTCTGCAGAAGGCCGGGCTAGAAAGCCTTCCACTGGGGTCTGAGCCCAGCTCACCCTGCAACTAGGGACAGGGGCCTCTCCTTGGAAGGGAGAGGAGGGATAACTGCATGAGGCAGATGTCCAGGTTCAGACCAGAGCTCTAGCGGTCAAAGTTTCAACCCTTTATCACAGGGCCTGTCCCTGCTCTGACCTCTGAGGCTGCCCCCACCACATCCTGCTGTGCTGTCCTGATAAACACTGCTGGGGGACCCCTCACACACACAGGGGAAGTGCTGACTCTCGGATCCCCTCGTTTAGCCTACCTCTCAACTATAGCCCCAGAGCAGGCCGCTGGCAGGTCAGAATCACCCTAGACTTCCAGGAGGCTGAGACAACCATCCCCGACCCCAAGGCAGGTGCTGCCCCTCCCCTGCCTGCCTATACCTTCCATGGCGCCCCATTACCCAGAGGGGCTCAAAGAACCTCCACTTCTGGCTCCTGCCACTCTTCCTCTCTCGTTTCACTTCCACTTCCACTCCCTGAGTCTTTGGTTTTGCTCTTCCCTCTGCCTGGAGCATCTTTCTCTACCTCACCCTTCAAGCTCAAATGTCACCTGCTCCAGGAAGCATTTCCTGACTCCAGGCTCCTCCTGGTCTCCCATAGCCACAGCCCTGATCACACCAGGATGTCACCATCTGCGACTGTGTCTGTCACACACACTAACCCTAACCTCAGCACCTGCTGGGAGCTCCCTCAAGGCAGGACCAGGGTCTGACTCCCCCATTTCCCCACTCAAGGTCGGCACACAGTAAATATCTATTAATGGAATGAATATTTCCCAATTTTACACGCAGAAAGCAAGTAGCCCATGGAGAGAGCGATGACTTGCCCAAGGTCATGCTGCCAGCCAGTGGCCAATCCACCTCCCAGCACCAGGTGCTTTCCAGTCCCCCTAGTGCCCAACCCAGTTACAGCCCCACCTCCTGCTGCCAGACCCCAGCTCTGCGTTCTCCCAGCACTCCACAGCTACCACCCCCTAACCTGCTCCTTCAGGCACTTAGGAACCACCTAATACAACCCTCCCCATTTTCAGAAGGAGAAAGTGAGCCCCAGAAAGAAGCAAGAATCTAGCCAGGGCCACACAGCAAATCAGGACCAAGTCCCAGGCTTCAGTCCTCCAGCCTGAGCTCAGCCTCTTGGACGGGGCCTGTTCTTTGGAAGAACTAGGAGGGGCTTTGTGC